CCCGCTTTGTTATCTCCGATGTTCTCTCTTTTTTTTTCTTCTTCTTTTCTTTATCTCAAATTATAAGCTGCTCCAACGTATATCCGCGTTTGTTATTAGATGGTTTTATTTTATTTCCCGTTATCTTAACGATATTACGTGTTCACGCGCGCGTGACGCGCGCAAGAAGAACGCAAAGTCGAGGAAGTCTTATATCATCGATTAATGCTTTTAATTAACGCAATTAAAACTTGTTATTATCATTATTATCATTATTATTATCATTATTGATAAAATAATAGATAAGATAGATAACAATAAATAACAATAGAAAATAAAATATTGCGAAAATTGTTATTACAAATTATTATCATTGTTATTATCATTATTATTAACGATAAAAGTACATAAGATAGATAACAATGGATAAAATTATTTATTTACTTTTTTTTTTTTTTACTTTTCTTTTTACAGGTAGTCGGAAAAACGTGCGACATCGTGGCCGATGCCGTGGAGAGATACAAAGCGATTATACTGACCGAGGCACGAATAGCGAAAATTTCCTCTCAAGGCCACACGAGATCCCAAATAAGGGACAACACGACCATCACCGGCACTCTCAACACTTTGAATATCCATTTGAGGGAGTCATGCGAGAAGGATGGAAACCATTGGCCCTATTTAGGGATGGACGAATCATGTGAGTCGTTTCAGAAATCGTCCAATTACATTACAGGGACGAATTATTTCTGAATTCCCGCGACAGAACGACGTCGTTTGTTTTTTCGAACGGCGTCTTTATTCTTTAGCTCGAGCCAGCTTTCGCGCAGCTGGTAAACGGATTAATGTCAATGGGTTACGCGAAATGACATCATCATCATCATCATTTTTTTCCATCATGATTTTATACACATATATAAATACATCCGATCGTCGAATATGAAATACGAGTTCCAAGATACGATTAAACATCTGTTCTTTAAATAATAAAAGAATCAGATTATTAATTAATATAATTAACGGTGCGATTGGAGCGATGCCAGTTAATTATGAAACTTGACTTTTTTTTCTTTCATCGACGATGATTCGAGGTTAAATCTAATTAGAATTAGCGTTTTGGACGTCTTATGCACACGCGCGATAGCACACCTGTCGCCCGTATCTTTTTCATCTTTCAAGTTTTTCCTCCTCTTTTCCTGTTCTTTTTGCTTCTTCTTTCTTTTTTGAACGAACAACAATGTTATATAGCCGACATAAAAATCTAGAAATGTTATTCCACGAAGGTTAAGATTACTCGGAACGACGCATTTGAAAAGATCGATCGATCCTTAATGAGCCGAAAGGGTTTAAATTTAAATTTAAAATCGCAATTGCACCTTTCCAGACAAGCTGAACATAAATGAAACATCGACGGTGGATCTGTTCGCGAAGACGGTATGGGGGATTCTTCGAGGGTTGGAAACGTTTTCTCAGCTCTTGATCCCGGCCGGGGATGGATCGAACGTGAGTACAACGCGAATCGTCATCGTCATGAATATGATACGAATATATAAAATATATAAATATATATCGAGATGTTTCTTCCTTCCTTTCTTCCCAGTTGAAGATAAGATGCCAAAGTATCGTAGATTTCGCAAAGTTTCCTCATCGTGGACTCCTGTTGGACACGTCTCGCCATTACCTTCCCATTCACGACATACTGCTCACACTGGACGCCATGTCTTACAACAAAATGAACGTTCTCCACTGGCACATCGTGGATGACAATAGCTTCCCCTATCAAAGCTCCAGCTATCCAAATTTGTCCGCCAAGGGTGCATACCATCCCTCGATGGTGTACACGTTGAACGACATCCAGCAAATCGTCGACTATGCAAGGCTGAGAGGTATCCGGGTGATGCCGGAATTCGATACTCCTGGACATACCAGCTCATGGGGTTTAGCCTATCCCGAATTGTTGACCACTTGTTACGGTAATAAATTCACGAAGATATAATCGTAATAATTCGTAAGAATATCTTTTTCTCTCAATTCTTTCCATCCATCGAAGAGAATTTTTATCGCTTTCATCGCTAATTAATATTTATCGTGACGAAAAATGGTGAATTAGATGCGAATGGGAAGCTGAACGGTAAATTGGGCCCGATGAACCCGACGAATCCGGCGCTGTACGAGTTCCTCCGCCACTTATTCGCCGAGATCGTGCAAGTGTTTCCGGATCAATACGTTCATCTGGGCGGAGACGAGGTGCCGTTCGATTGTTGGAAGAGCAATCCCGATATCAATTCGTACATGAAGTCGCGCAACATATCCAGTTACAATCTTCTCGAGAGCGAATATATCGCCAGGCTTCTTCGTATCACGGACTCGCTTGAGGCCAACACGATCGTTTGGCAGGAGGTAAACGTCTGTCCTTTTTCTTTTATTACGTTTCTTCTATCTCGTCTTATAAAACGGCCGGCAATAAAGCCAAGTAACAAATCCTTGTTTCGAGATCGCGAGTGAAACGGCTCGTTACTCGATCGATAAATATTTTCTCGAGCAAAAGGGATGAAAATTTTGAACCTTTTTTAATTACAACTTTGGAAATTATACTCGTCGAATATCCGATGATTATTCCATTATTTCACACGATAATAATATCTTTTACCGTGTAATTAATAACGGAACGACTCCATCGCGATTATTCAGAATGAAATGAATTGAAACGAATTTGAAATCGTGAATCGCGTTCCCAGGTATTCGAGAATGGGGTGGTGTTGCCGAATACGACGGTGGTGCACGTGTGGACTGGCAACTGGCCGAAGAAGTTGGAAGAGGCCACGAAAGCCGGGCATCCGGTATTGTTATCGGCCTGTTGGTACCTGGATAGGTTAGTCAACGCCCGTGATTGGAAGAAATTCTACGCGTGCGATCCTTTGGCGTTCAACAAAACCGTGAACTCGTCCCATTTGATGCTGGGTGGCGAAGCGTGCATGTGGGGAGAATTCGTGGACAGGTAATGGTAATCGTTAATAATTTGCTTCATTTCGTTTCGAATCGCTGTCGAATTGTGTAAAATCGTCGATAGTACGAACGTTTTCATTGATTTTCTCGTTCAGAAAGGATACGTGAAAATTAACCTCCTTTTTTTTTTTTTTTTTTAAATGGAACTAGAAATAGAATTGTATAACGCGTAATTTCGTTTTTCAGGAACAACGTGCATCCGAAGATATGGCCTCATGCCAGCGCGACCGCGGAACGTCTTTGGACTTTTGCGAAACAAGACGACAACCATGTCGCTCAACGACTCGAGGAGCACGCTTGTCGGATGAACAGACGCGGAATCCCGGCACGACCGCCGAATGGACCCGGATTCTGCGTGATGTAACGGAAAAGAAAGCAACCGGAGAATTTTGGCCACATCTTTTCTTTTTTGTTATATTTTAGATCATAGACGAATTTTAATTTTTAATCTTGATACGTGTGATACCATTTTCGAGAATCGATCGAAATTATTACAAGGTTGTTTATAAGGGAGAGAGTCGAAATATAATGTTGAATTTTGTTTCTAGCAATTCTTCGTATGATGAAATAAATTCTTTCGATAGTTCGATTCGACGCGAGAGATATTTATTCAACTTTCTACTTTTAATATATTTTATCGTAAAGATAACTGTCAATCATATCGAGATAAGATTACGTTGCTCTAATTATAATATTTAATATTGATAAATATCTCTTCGAGTGTAGAAAAAATAAAAGCCAAAAAAAAAAAAATATGAATCGTTATCGGAAATTTATCGTTACGAGAGGCGAAGGTCGAATGGCCATGTTTTTCCACGCTGTTCTTCCGCCTGAGAGAGAGAGAGAAAAAAAATGAAATGACTGGCTGAAAAGAGGAAGATCGGATCGTCCAGGTAACCAACAAACAAAACAAGCAAATTCATCACTTCGTGACCACCTTTCATCCGCACACCGTCAAAATTTCAAGTGACCCCGGAAACAGACTCCGAAGCGTGTTAATGTCGTCGTTTCTCGTTAGATTGGGCCTGGTCCAACATCAGGGGATCGACGACATTAAAATTCGTGGACATGGAATGGAGATATTGGCATAATTCCCTATAATTACACTCCGCAATAGAAGAAAGTAAACAATTTTTTTTCATTTTAACAAATCATTCGTGCTTCGCGATAATTTAATCGTAATAGAAAATAGAATATTATATCAACCTTTCAGATACTTTTCCTCTGATACACCAATGGAATAATATCGGGATAAAATTAATCCATTTTTTTTTGTGCTCTTCCAAATATATCTTCGATATCCTAAATTGATTCTAAAACGATTTAATTCAATTTCTTGTTTGGCGCAAAAAGAATACTCCAGAGATATGTCGTGTTATCGCTCTTGCTGTTCTCCATGCTGCTCTCCACCATCCTGTCCTCC